GGAGGAGGAGTAGAGAGAAGTAGGGCAAAAAGACAGACAGAAATCAAACAAGAAAGAACGAGTGTGGAACGGGGACAATTTTGTTTATGTTGGCCAATCCTTATCACTTCTACAGTCTCTCAATCTGTCTCCTGGCTCTCCCATAAAACCTTTATTGTTCTTTCGTTGTTGTTTTGAAGCAGTAGGCTGGAGTTTCCGTAAACATTTGACTGTGGTTTGGTTGTTCAACTCTTAATTAACTTTCGGCAATTTTCTGCTTATATTTTGATTGTGAAATTGAGTGGGGGATGAATCAGTTCTTGGCTATACTGCCTGTACTTTTAACTATCCCTGTTGTTTTAAGCCAGAAAAATTCTGAAATTGGGCAAACTGAGCCCAAAAATGTGAAATTATGCGATTCTGTTAATCTTAACAAAGAAAGGCAAAGGAAAATAATCAGAGATTATGCACACAAAAAAGATCAAATTTTGCTAAATTATGCGGGGTGCATGAAACCACGGGGACAGTTTTAAACAATTTGTAGTTATATTTTGACAGTGGATGGAGATGAATCAGTTTTGGGTTTTACTGCCAGTATTTTCCTGTTTGTATATCGATTGTGTAGTGCGGCGGGGTTCTGAAACTACGATTCATTTTTGTTTCTTTTCGGTGAAACTTCTTCAGTGAAAGTGACTGGTGTTTTGGCAATTGGTTCTTGGCTTTTCTGTCAACATTTTGCGATGTTGTGAGTGTGCGGTAGACTGGAGTTATGCAAAACTGTTGACTTTTCTGAAAACCCTTTACACCATTTTGAGTGTGCGGTACTCGGTAAAGTGGGGTTCATGAAACAACGTTTGACTTTTCCGTATTTTGATTATTAGCTATGTAGGGTGGAGTTAACAACATAATTCTTAATTTTTCTGTAAGCATTTTTACTGAATTTGGATCTTGAGATACGGTGGAGTTAATGCGATTTCAAACTTTTCTGTCAACATTTCATTGTGTGTTGATTGTGAGATAGGGCTGAGTTAACATAATTCTGATTTTTTTCTTTCATTATTTGATTATATTTTGATTGTGAGATAGGGTGGAGTTAACACAATTCTGATTTTTCTATCAATATTTGATTGTATTTTGATTTCCAGATAGGATGGAGTTAATACGATTCCATCCAGACTTTTCTGTCAACAGTTCATTGTGTGTTGGTTGTGAGGTAGAGTGGAGGTAACATAATTCTTGCCTTTTCCCTCAAAATTTCATTTTGATTTTGTCACAGAGTGGAGTAAACACTGTACTTGACTTTGTCCCTAATCTTTCACGGCACCATCACTGCGCTGTAGATTTGGGGTGAGGGGGGGGGGGTTGACGCCAACAAAAATAACAAAAGCAGCAGCTGGCTAGAGCCCCTTAACCACACCATGTTCTGTGCGCTAATCACAATCGCGAACTGTTTCTTACAAAAGCTAAACAAACGTTCCGGCTATGATATCAAGCAGACGGGGGCAGCTGCCAAAACAGGGCTACCACAGGGAGGGACTTTCTGGCGGGAGGAGGGAATACCTCGATCAGCGGCCGGCGCCAGGCGTGATCGATAGATCGATAACCTATAGCTGTACCCTTGGTGGCTGTCCAACTGAACAGGCAACCACACGCTGAGGAGTTGTGGACAGTTACTTAGTCTCTCTACTTTCCCTAACTAGATATGTAGGTAGGTAGGTAGGTAGGTAGGTAGGTAGGTAGGTAGGTAGGTAAGTAGGCAGGTAGATAGATAGATAGATAGATAGATAAATAGATAGATGGATAGATAGATAGATAGATAGATAGTAAGTAAGTAAGTAAGTCAGTCAGTCAGTCGGTCAGTCAGTCAGTCAGTCAGTCAGTCAGTCAGTCAGTCAGT